TGATCACACAGGCTGGTGTGCTTCTTCCATGTGGGCTTTGTTACTTCTCAGCTCGATGGCCGCTTGTTTGTCTTCAAGTATTTAAGACCCCAGGACTATATCTTTTGATAGCCGGATACCATCAGCTTTCTCACAACATTTGTCTTCAGTGATCACGTCAGGAAGGTGAGCATCATGGAATACCAGGTTAATAGAACAACGTATTCTTACGTTGAGGGAATACTTGAGTAGAGGCCCAATGTCCATCTGCTGCTTAATATTAGATCTATAAATATTTGTACATAGATCTATTTCCCCATCGTCATATATAAGTATGTTTATATATGTACATGCCTGAATTTATACCTCTATAAATGCCCCTTGCTTTCTAGTTCTTTCCTTTTACTTTCGTCTTTTCCCACTATCATGTTCCTCTCGGTTACATTGCCCTCGATCAAGTTCTATCTGGCCTCGTACACCCTCCTCACTAACGATTTTGGATCACTTGTTGTTCCCTTGTCCCTGGGTTTGTTAACACCCACTTCCTTTTCTCTGCCTCCCCCTCGCCCATGTCTCCTGCCCCCATAACTGGCCCCATTGTTTCCTCCTCCAGATTGTTTATCCCATCTAGATAGACATGCAGAGATAATAATATGCCAAAAAACAAAACAGAGCAAAACAAAGCAACAAAAGAAAACAAAACAAAAAGAAAAACCAAGGACAAAAAAAAGAAAGAAAAGACTGTAAGTAGTTTAAGATGTTTGTTGACCTTTAGGAGTGTTTTCTGGTCGATTGTGATTGGGTGCTGTGCCTTGTCACCAAAGTCTATTTTTGGAATTCCCTAGGGACTTCGTTGCTCTGCTCCCCTTGCTGTTCTGTTGCAAGTCCTTAGTGTTTCACCTAGGTGTGATGGAGTCAGATGGGGCACAATTCCCGCTCCGTCTCTCCAGTGTTTTCCCTCATAGCTTTATGGGTCAGTGAGGGACATCATGTCTGGTAGTGGGGCCAGCCCTATGGTCCTCTTTGTGTATTGGCTATTCTGAGCAGGAATATCATTCTCAGGGCTTGGTGGGCCAGGATGTGCTCCACTCTCTCTTCCTCTCCCTTCATTTGCTCCTGTGTACTTTGATCAGACATGTCCCTCTCCCGGAGCTGTAGCTTTAGTGCTGTCCTCTGAAGTGAATTCTTCTGGGGTGCAGTCCACGTGGTTGGGATTGGGGTTGGCCTCTCCTTATATTTTCTTTCTTTGGCTTCTCTCTACACTCCAAAATCTGGTTTTTAAAGTTTACTCAATCTAGTATAATAAACTGAAATGGTTTACCTACCTACCTCCCATATCATCCGACTTTCTAGTCTATCAAGTTTCTAAAAGGGAAATCAAGTCATAGTACTATGCTCCTTAAAATCCTACAGTGCCTTTTATTGGTCTTCAGTGTGGCATTCCAGATTTTCATCACCTGCCACTTAGCTGCCTTTCTGCACTCACGGCATGCCACTCCCAGGGCTTCAACCCCGTTCTTATTCCTCCCACTTGTGTCCTTTCTGAACACGTGCCTGACTTGACTTTGTCCCTGCTTCCTACTTGCTTTAGGAAGGCAGAAGTCTTCCTCCCTGGGCTTTAGGCAAAGCAAAGTACACTTATTTCTTAGTTATTTCATAAAAGCTATTTGAGACACCTTGATCTCATTGTCAGAGTAAACAGTTTGCATGTAATAATTTTAATTTCAGTCTTTTTTCTGCCATGAATGCCTAATGTGCAGTAAAAGCTTATTGATTAGGGTAATCATTTATGTAATACCTTGTTTCGAAGAAAAGATTCTGTGATAATGTTATATGGGTAAAATGGGCAGACTCTAATTTCCATATTGAATATGTTTTACAGCCTTCAGTTTGGAAACCTGCAGAATTATGATTGCCATGTTGGATGTATCCTTTTTAAAAAACCCACAAAATTCTAGAATAGGGAATGCTTTGTTTTTTAAAATTGAGCTAAGTGTTTGTGACGAATGAGCGAGCACAGTGGCCTGGAGAGTTTGAAAATACTTTGTAAGAACCTACCAGAATTTTGCACATTTATATTTATACATGGAGATCTATTTATATGAAACATTTGGTTAATACCACAGGGACATGCTAATTTCTTAATCAGTGGTTTACTGTTTGGGGTTAGGTTAATATTCTGTGGCACCAAAATGTATTTTTGTTAATAAAGTACCAGAGGGACTGCACAGGTAAAATGGGATTTAGTGAATTCAAAGAACTGTGGGCAGTTCTGAGTGCTTGGCAGCTAAACTTCATGACCATTGATCAAGACCGAAGTGGCACAGTGGAGCATCATGAATTGAGTCAAGCCATTGCAGCTATGGGTAAGAAGATTAAGGTCTTCTAGAATGGATCTAGCTTGATTTTCTCTTCATAATAAGATGCATATCAATGGTCTTAGTTTGCGCAATAATAAAGGAATGTATTATTCTACTAAGTCTGCCTTGTTGGATTCAAGGTTATAGATACATACTGACGAGGGCTCGTTACTTTGGTAGAGTGGCAGAGAAAAAGAGGCAGACCCACTGGATGGAGTGACCCATCAGCGGCAACGTAGGGCTCAAGCATAGGAGCCACTGTGAGGATGGTGCTGGACCGAGCAGTGTTCCGGTCTGTTGTGCAGTCATTATGGGTCAGAACTGACTCGTTGACACCTCACACCAACAGAACTCTGTAATGAAATGGTTTTACATGATTTATTTTTAAAAAGTCGATATGCCATACATGTCAGTTGACTAAATAATTTCTAAATGATTTCTGTCGGATACACTTAACTTTATACATATAATTGTTAGTATTCACCATTTACATTCTATTCTCTTGTAGCTTGGTGGGATCTCCCTCATTTTGGAGGAAGGGCTTATCTGAATTGATCACAAGTCTATTATTTTATAGTTTAGTTTTTCAGCATTCAAGCACCCCCCTTTTCTTTTTAAATGTAGCATATATACCAAAATACTTCATAATGGAAAGCGTACTACATTTGGCAATAATTCAAATGTTTTTAAAGGTTTTGAGCTTGTAAGTGGAGGTTCTTGTTCTGTTTGTTTTTGTGGAGAAGTCATCGATCTTATGTAGTGATGCTACATTACTTTCTTATAGTTTGTTTCGCTTGGAGAATTTCTCCTGAATTATGATTACCCTTGTGGTTTTAATTACCTGATTTTAGTTTTTGATGGTTTTGTTGTTTTATGCTATTTGATTGTTATCTTTTGTGTTATTTGTATTGGTTGTTATTTTTTACTTAATTACTCATTATTTACTTAATAATTATCTAATTATTAATACTACTTATTTAATTATTAGTCATTGTTTTATTCAGCATGCACTTCAATAGTTGAATTATATTAGAAAGAGTTATACAATCATCTCCACAATCAACTTTAGAACATTTACTTTTCTTGTATTCATTGTTATCAGCTCCCCACTTCCTCCCAACCTCTCCTGCTGTACCCCCATTTTAAAAGTAACTTATATTGATAAGAAGTGATCTCTCTGAAAGTTAAAATCTGAACCCAACTCAAGCAGACTTACTTCAAATTCCAATTTGAAGGAGTCAAAACTGGTAGTATATATGGTTTAGTTTATGAATAGACATTTTCATTTTACACTAAGGATTTTGGGGTCAATTTTCCTCATATAAATATGTATATCTGAGCTTTAGTACCTAATGGATGCTCTTAGTATTTAATTAAACAGAGTTTTGAAAAATTAACCAGAATGTTTTACACACAGGAAAACATCTAGAGAGCTCAAATAGGTCATTACGTATAGGAAAACAGAAGGTGCCCTAGATTTTTCAAATTAAGATCTTCAAATATATCTATAATTGTTCCAATTATTTTGCGTAAAGTACTGTGGAAAAATCTTAAGAATTTTATTAATATCACATCCGTCCTAATTATCTGGTGGTAAGCTCAGAATGCAGTTGTGTGGTGTAATTACATTACGTTGCAACTTTAGTTGTCTCCTCTCTCAATTTATCTCTTTGTGTTCCTTTACTTTTGTCAAACTTCCTGGGTTAAATTGCATTATAAGTGCAATTACAATTTTTCCTATGATATTTATTTTCATTTTTGAATGAGTTAGAGGTTTTGGTCAAAGTTTATTGATCTAATAATGTAGAAAGCCAAGAATACTGAGACCAGCTCAGTGTGTTCCATTGTAAGGCGTATACAAGAAAACTCTCAACCCAGAATTATCACGCTAATTCTACCTCACAGACAGACAGACATGAGAGGACAGGAGGAGACTTGATCGGTAGGGTTTTCTAGACTCTAAAGCAGAAGAACTGGTGGTTTTGACTTAACGGCCGTAGCTCAACACTTATCCCATAGTGCCACCGTTGCTCCATTTAAGTTGTAAAGATCTCATTAAAGGCTCAGAATAGTCTATGAAGGTGCAGCATGTAGAAGAGGTTAATTTCTAAATCTAATCATTTATATGTTTTACATTTCAGTATTTATGTTTTAAAACACAAATAATCAAACAGAAATACTTGCATAGGGTTTAAAACTAAATCAAGACACATATAACTGGATTCAGTAATTAAAAATTTTTTCTTGTTCCCAAACATTATCCGAAATGTTTGAATCATAAGAACGAACAACACAGAAACCAGGAACTGTTAAGACGTTTGTAGTTAAGGGTACAACATATGAAGAACTAGGCTAAGAATTATAGACACAAATAGGTATAAAATTGCCCTGTTCCTTCCCCTTCGAGGTAACCTTGTTAATCTTATGATTTTTCTCTGGCTGTACAAGTTCCATACAAGTTATATATTTAAAAGAAAATGTATTTGGAAGATAGCAAAGTCAACTAGCAACTTTCCTCTTGATATACACAGCGTTACAGAATTGAAATACTAAAGCCTTATTTCAAAATCAGATACACAATAGGCTTATTTTTTTTTCATTAGGTTTGATTTTAGGACAAAGCTAGGACTGTTGTATTTGTGCACCATTCGGCAGCAATAATAATGAACTTAAAAAAATCAGTTTCTATCTCAAATGCATTGCTTCTAATACACATTTTTAATTTTAAAATGAATTTATTTTGCAACTTTGTGAGAGAGCACAGTGTTGGAATATTCTTATGCTAGTTAATTTGAGACCTTTTAATTTACCAATCTCTTGTTTTTAGGCTATAGGTTAAGTCCTCAGACATTAAGTGCTGTTGCTAAACGTTATAGCAAGAATGGCCGCATCTTCTTTGATGACTATGTTGCTTCCTGTGTGCAGCTTCGAGCATTGACAGGTATCTGCCACAGGAAAATGGATACAGGATTTTGTTACTGTCGTTCTTGAATAGTCTCTTTCTTCCTTCAGCATTCTGCAATAGTGTGTAGTTTCTTCTTTATTCATCCCTAACTTTAACCAGTCATTAGGTTTGAAACACAGGAATATAAATTATGAAAAATTATTAGAACTCAGTTTTGGAGAATGTTCACATATAGAACAACCTAATATTTAATTGAATATGTTTAAACACTTTTTAATTGAATTGAATATGAAAGTATTAATTTATGTAGTAACTGGGGACACTCACCAAAAAACCAAACTCATGGCCACTGAGTCGATTCTGACTCATAGTGACCCCACAGGACAAGGTAGCACTGGCCTGTGGGTTTCCAAGACTAGCTATAGGAGTAGAAAGCCTCCTCTGTTTTCCTGCAGGGTGGCTGGTGGTTTTGTACTGCCGGCTTTGGAGTTAGTAGTCCAACACATAACCACCATGCCACCAGGGCTCCTTAACTGAATACACTAGGTATTTGAAACTATAGATTTAAAAATTTATTTAATAAAAATAGTTTTTTTCCATTGTGAATTGGGTGAAAGTTTATAAAACAGATCATTTTTCCATTCAACAATTTATATACCTTGTGTTTTATCTCATTCATTGCAAGCCCACAAAGTAGCATCCCTTATCCCCCTCCCTCCGTGTCTTGCCTGTTTCTATGACTGGCTCTCTAGTGCTCCTTTCTCCCCGTGTTTCCTATTTCTAGTCTTCCTTCATGCCCAACCCTCTGAACTTTGACCTTGAGTCAATGTAAATGCTGCCCTTTTGAAGAGTTACCTTAGACTTTCAATTTTAATGAAGTAATTTATGGTTTGTTTTAAGATTTCTTTAGGAGAAGAGACCACTTACAGCAAGGACTTGTGAATTTCCTTTATGACGATGTAAGCTTGTCATACCTTTGACATTATGGCACGTGTGCATAGTGATAAGACTGTTTTTAGAAGACCATCTACTGGGAGTAATATACTTTGTAGATCATACTTAAAATTTTTTTATAGCCGAGCACACATAT